AATTCCTAGGTAATTCAGTGAGAATAATTGCTGAAACTTTGACTGATAATGTGTTTTTTTGGCACGAACTTATTATAAAGTTTGAAAAAAATAAACTTCTGGGATCGCCATGACCAAGAAGATTTCAACGTTATCAAATTATTTGTTGTTTTTTTTTCAAATGGTTTAATATTAACCTATTGAAAATCAAAAACAAAATATTCCATAATTATATTGAAATTCTGCTCACAATTAACATGGGATTCTACCAAAATTCACAAAAATCTCTTATAACTATTATCGTACCTTGGATTTCATTTCAAAATTCCCTAGAAACTGCTCTTGATAATTTTCTTGAAATCCTTCAAAGAATTCCTTTGATATTATCCTGACAATCCAATCCCTTTGACAGTGTTATCGAAATTTTAATCAAATTTCTCTTCAGGAATCCTCTTCAGTATGCTTCTTTTTGAATTATGCTCAGAATCGTCTTAAAATTCTGTTAATAATTCACTTAGAATTATCGTAAACATTCTCTTGGAATCATCCTCTTGCTATCCTTCTCGCGATATCCATAAAATTCTTCTCAGAACCACCTGAGAATTATCTCTTTTCATAACTCTAATGGAAATATTATATAAATTACCGAGAAAACCAATTCAGAACTTCCTTTCTTCTCCTCAATTTTGTTTTGGAATTCATCTCAGAATTCCTTAGAGCATGATCCCAGAATTATGTTAGAATCCTGGTAAAAACTTCCTTAGGATGTTTACCAGAATGTTGTAGTATTGGCCTCGGCTTTTCTTTTGGATAGGGTTCCCCTCAGAATTCTGTAGAATTGATTTCCAAGTTGCAGAGCCTTGAATACATTCCAAGACCAAAATAGTGTTTTTTTTTATTTGGTTTCTTGTAAATTAAAAAAAAAATCGAGTATTTTTCTCAATCCTAAATCTAATCTTTGTTTCTGAATCGAGGATCTTGAACATGTTTATAAAACACAAATCTCGCAAAATCATTGTCTATTGCTGTTTCCAAATTTCGAAGTCTCTCCGAAAAATAAATCAAATAAAAATACAATTAATTTTGCTGTTACTGTAAACAAACAAAATAACAACGAAATTCACGGTTTACAACTATGAAAATCATCACATTTTTTAGAAAATTACAGCATAAAAGTGAGATTGTTAAGTATCTTAGCAGTAGAAAAAATAATTTGTACGCAAAACAAATTTCTTAATCAATTTCGTAATTCAATCTTTCACTCTTAACAATCCGGTCTAATGACCCATCCATCGCAATATAGCATTCGGCTTAGTGACCACAAGAATAATCCATGACTCAGTTGCAAAAATAAGCGGTTTTGAGCTTAGAAAATTAATGCAAATTCATTTATCTAAGTATTTCGATACTATAATTTTTTTTTAATCGAGCTAAATTGCTAGTTTTTTTCCTTGATTTGTTTTCCGTCGATCTTGTTTTCCGTGCTACCGACGCCAGAAAAACAGCTCCCACACCTGGCCCCTACTTATCGACCCATCAACTCATGAACCGGGGACCAACGGCTTTACTTCCCGAAGGAAGGCGTGATCAGAGTTGTTATGCCTCAGAATATCCTGGCGGCGCCGACTGGGATTGAATCCAGGCCTGTTGGGGTGAGAGGTAATCACGCTTACCACTACACCACCGGCACCGCTAAATTGTTAGCTTGATATGTTCAAAAATAAACCATCGATCTTAACGATATTTGGTCCATTATATACGATCGTAGCCATCCCAAAATTATGGGTCAGTTATTATTTATTATGAGCGTGTTAATCTTCTGGAAGTGATTCTCACATGTGGAATGATTTTTATAAAATATAGAAAAGAAAGATGCATAAATGACATTGCATTTTAGGGTGACCAGCCATGTTTTTTGATGCATGGAAAACTCATGGAATTCTATTTAGCAAAATTAGTAGACACCCTGTAGAAGATGTTGGCATTTAACTAGGCTATCTGAAGCCCCAGTACAGCAGAACAGAACAGAGATGCAAATCAGTACAACGTGTATTTTGGAAGACAATCAGAGTTACATCAATTTCGTGAACTCTGAACGTACAACTCGCGGTTCAAGCATATAGATGTTCTTTCGAAACCGCTGGATACGTCGAAGACTCAGAAACTACTGTATTGAACGGTTAAGGTAGTGGTGGCAACTGTTCTCCTATCTAACTACATTAAGATCTAAAACTACCCAAGATTATCTGTCTTGGTTGTCTTCCCACGATTCACTATTAATTCCTTCGAAATGAAATCCAAATCCCTCTAGTAGCTCTCCTGTAATTACTCCATGTTTCAAATAAAAATCATTCCCTGACAGTGACTCTATAACCACTGCTTGGATTTTTTCTGGATTATCCATCGAAACATATCTTCTTTAAAACTAAGTACCAATTAACTTACTTAAACTTACTCTGACCTCAGAAAGCATCCATCTCAAGTAACAATTTTGGTTTTATGAGGTTTCTGTAGACCATGATTTTGACATGCAGAATGCTATAAGACCTCTGATAAGCTTACAATGTTGCTTGGGATATGCTCTTTAAAATACTCTATTATTGTAGTTGAATAAATATCCTAAATTAGGGGGAAACAAATCGAGCACCATCGGATAAATTAAGGCATTTATTGCTTGATTCGTTCCGTAATTCAAACGATTCTTCACGCATGGGCAAGCAAAAGGTACAAATGTACCTATCCAAGAAATCCTAAACGCGAACATCTGTAAATGTTAAGAAAGAGAGCCAGATGATAGTCGAATAAGAGGCCAAATGCGCGCACGCGCGCGAAGGCTAATTTCAATTAATTACACCAATCCATCAAAGTGTAATTGAGCTGGAAGGCGCGCGTTTGTATCCCTCCTAAGTGCTAAAGTGAAGAAGGATCAAATGTTTACAAGTTCTATCTTTCCTATTCTTCAGTTTAACTATCAATGGGCCCTAAGCGTGGCTCCACGTAGCCCTAGCTGTTATCGTCGTCGTCGTCAGAAGATCGTCGTTGATAGGCGTCCGATCAATTTCTACCTCAATCGACCACCAAGCCGCATCGCGCTGCGCTGGTATTGACAGGTTAAGTGGATCTTCACCTCCCCCCGGAGTGTGCTAATCAATGGGTTGGTAATTGAATTGACTGGTCGCTGCCACCGCCACTAATTACCATTACAATAGCGGCAAAAAGGCACTTGTTCAATAGATATTTGTTACCCGGAATTGCGGTTGCGCAATTCGTGAGTCCCCTCTCCAACGGTACGAATCGCGCGCAATTTGAAATTCAAACGAAAACACACAAAATGCGGCAAGAAATTGCAGCCAATGGCAAAATAAGGCCAAAGGCTCCACCCTTTTTCGTTACTTTTGCATTCTGATTCTACCCAATTAACCAATTAATCATCGGTATGTGGTGTTTTTTTTTTTGTTTGTGTTTCCTACTTGTTGTGCGGTAGCACTTGGCAACTTGGCTGATTCACAATGATACTCCGGAGAAGCTCGAATTGAGTACGAAGCGCAGCGCGCGGTGTGTTATTATTCAATTTGAAAAGTGTAGCTAATGTGACTGAATTAAGCACTTGGAGGTGGAGGTTGGTGCCGCACTACTACCGATGGTGAAGGTTTTAGAAAGAGCCATTAGTGGGAAATATTCCGCCAAGGGGGGCTTTGTTAAAAGTTTGCAGAATTGCAATCCGCTGTGAAAATGAGCAGAGTATGGTTTCGCAATTCCTTAACCAATCAATTTTGAAAAAATGACGAAGTTGTGCAGATTGTACATCACACGGAAACGGTTGGACACTGCTAACGCTAGAGATAAAGCAATTTCCCGATCCCACGAACATCGATGCATGCTGCACGTGTCAGTGGGTAGATTGTTCCCGACCTTGGTCTCGGTTGCAGAATCTTCCGAGTAAATATAGCTCTCTCCGACACACATAGACCAACCACTGCGCGCGTTCAATAGAACATCGATTCCCAACCTGGGTTTCGCGAACCCCCACTAAACGGAAAGCACATGAAAATAAGCCATGTTGAGCGAGCTTGACCGTACGGTGGGGTAACGTTGAGAATCGATGCAATAGACGGTTCTTTGTGCATTCACAGCACTCGAACTTGTTTGTCGTGCGGTGCAGTGCGTGTCCTCTTTTGTTTTTATTGCTCGATTGCTCGCAATGCCGAAGATGTGTCGGTACAGCTAAAGAGAGGGTGAACTATCGTGCGACTAACCGTTCCGTTAGACTTGGTGCTCTCTATGATGACGATGGACATCCTCTCGAACGTTTTTCTCGTCATTTCCGTTGACTCACTGACTAAAAAAAAGCTCTGTCTACAGAATCACGCGACCGGCCTATGGCGGCGGTGGGTGGTTAGCTGACGGGATTACACTCCCCCCCCCCCTCCACGCTTATTCTCAATTCACTCGATTTTAACTTTCCACTCAGGTTTGCCACGTACTCGACCGACGCGCGCGTTTTCGTTAACCTTCCCCTTCCCCTTTACCCTACTTGTGTGGATATGTCAGAGACATTACCTTTCCCCACCAGGAGTTCTTCGTTTGTGTTTGTGCTTGTTATTGTTTACAGGAATGAACGCCCGGTTGACTCCTGGGTCGTCCTATACATATCGGAACATGTGTCGGCAACGACCAGGACACGGACACGGAATGAATGTAGGTCAGTCACCAAACGATGTTCCCTTCTGGGTGTCAACAAACAACAACCCGGCGTATTCCTCCAGGAGCGCCGCAACCGTCGTCGTCGTCGGACACATCCCTTCTTATAGTCTGCACACGTCCGTGTCGAAGTGATCTCACGCGCGCCGTCGCCGGTTGCGCGTTTGGAATACTATCTCGATTGACTGGTTTCCCTCCTTCGCCGCTGTTCCAATCCACCCAAACACTAAAACAGTTGTTTCAGCTAATGCATATTTCGATTTTGTGTGCGGTTAAGTTCAATGCTAATCAATATTTTTCGTTTCTCCATTTTTTTGCAGATCTGATGAGGATAGTGCTAGTGGGAACAAATACAACAGAATGGAAGAGGACAACGTTCAAGATAAGGAGCGCTTCGCCAGGTGAGTTAAACTTGTTTCCGCGTGGAACGTTCAGCTGTTCTCCACATTCTATCTGCATTCAATGGTCCTTTTTTTCCTAATCCAAAAATCATTTAAAATTTTAAAAATGAAATTGAGTAAAACTGGGCAATTACCCCGTCTTCAGCGAAGTTGTTCAATTGAGTGAGAACTCTCAGATAGCGGATAGTTTAGTTCAAAAGTGGCTGTCCTCAGAAAAATCGTTCAGATGAGTAAGGCCTCTTTGATGATGGTAAGGATAGTCCACGAGGAGCCACTATTGATAATAAATATTGTGTTGCAGCATATCCTACGACGTTGACCGTATACCATGTTTCCGTATTCTGAAAATGAACTGGGACCTCTCAGACGAAAAAAAATCTTCTCCTTCATTCCGTCTTTGGAGATTTTGCCTTCTCTCAACTTAGTGTTCTTTGTAATTGAGAGCTTTCTATCGTCGAGAAATTTTCCAACCCTAAAATAATATGAGACGGCAAAATTACACAGTTGAACGGAAATTCTTTGTTGAAGTTGAAGTTATTCAAAAGATGCAATGAAATTCAAACGTTTTGCCAATGGGAAGTCTCTAAAGTTTCATGAATAAAACATAAATATATAAATAACTTGAAAGCTTCCTACTGTTGAAAGGAATTTATTGCATTCTGACTCGACTAAACTATAAATTCTGACTCGACGAACCTATAAAAAGAAAATTTAATAAAATAACGACCGGAGAACTTTACGACATTTCCATTCACATCAAAGAACTTCAAGAAACTTCAGAATACTTCAAGTAAGTTCATAGATCTAAATGAAATTTCAGATCGCGATTTGGAGGGGGCCCAGATGGTCGAAATTTTTATACCCGGGTTTCCCAGTATACAATATTTCAAAATTCTTTTCTTGTCGGCTGGTGGATTTCCCAAACCTTTAAATCGATTTATCTCCGTAAATATGCCTCTAATCGCGATTTGGGGGGTGTTCAGATGGTCGAAATTTTTATACCTGTATTTCCCACCATCAAATATTTTAAAATTCTTTACTTGTCGGCTGGTGGATTTCCCAAACCTTTAAATCGATTTATCTCCGTTAATATGCCTCTAATCGCGATTTGGAGGGTGCTCAGATGGTTGAAATTTTAATAACCGGGTTTCCCGGTATAACATATTTCAAAATTCTTTACTTGTCGGCTGGTGGATTTCCCAAACCATTAAATCGATTTATCTCCGTAAATATGCCTCTAATCGCGATTTGGGGGGTGTTCAGGTGGTCGAAATTTTTATACCCAGATTTCCCAGTATAAAATATTTCAAAATTCTTTACTTGTCGGCTGGTGGATTTCCCAAACCATTAAATCGATTTATCTCCGGAAATATGCCTCTAATCGCGATTTGGGGGCTGTTCAGATGGTTGAAATTTTAATAACCGGGTTTCCCAGTATACAATATTTCAAAATTCTTTTCTTGTAAGCTGGTGGATTTCCCAAACCTTTAAATCGATTTATCTCCGTAAATATGCCTCTAATCGCGATTTGGGAGGTTTTCAGATGGTTGAAAATTTTGTACACGGATTTCCCAGCATAAAATATTTCAAAATTCTTTACTTGTCGGCTGGTGGATTTCCTAAACCATTAAATCGATTTATCTCCGTAAATATGCCTCTTATCGCGATTTGGGGGGTGTTCAGATGGTCGAAATTTTTATACCCGGATTTCCCAGCATAACATATTTTAAAATTCTTTACTTGTCGGCTGGTGGATTTCCCAGCCCTTTAAATCGATTTATCTCCGTAAATATGCCTCTAATCGCGATTTGGGGGGTGCTCAGAAGGTTGAAATTTTAATTACCGGGTTTCCCAGTATACAGTATTTCAACCTTCTTTTCTTGTCGGCTGGTGGATTTCCCAAACCTTTAAATCGATTTATTTCCTTAATCTCTAATCGCGATTTGGGGGGTGTTCAGATGGTCGAAATTTTTATACCCGGATTTCCCAGCATAAAATATTTCAAAATTCTTTACTTGTAAGCTGGTGGATTTCCCAAACCTTTAAATCGATTTATCTCCGTAAATATGCCTCTAATCGCGATTTGGGAGGTTTTCAGATGGTTGAAAATTTTGTACACGGATTTCCCAGCATAAAATATTTCAAAATTCTTTACTTGTCGGCTGGTGGATTTCCCAAACCATTAAATCGATTTATCTCCGTAAATATGCCTCTAATCGCGATTTGGGGGGTGTTCAGATGGTCGAAATTTTTATACCCGGATTTCCCAGCATAAAATATTTTAAAATTCTTTACTTGTCGGCTGGTGGATTTCCCAACCCTTTAAATCGATTTATCTCCGTAAATATGCCTCTAATCGCGATTTGGGGGGTGCTCAGAAGGTTGAAATTTTAATTACCGGGTTTCCCAGTATACAGTATTTCAACCTTCTTTTCTTGTCGGCTGGTGGATTTCCCAAACCTTTAAATCGATTTATTTCCTTAATCTCTAATCGCGATTTGGGGGGTGTTCAGATGGTCGAAATTTTTATACCCGGATTTCCCAGCATAAAATATTTCAAAATTCTTTACTTGTAAGCTGGTGGATTTCCCAAACCTTTAAATCGATTTATCTCCGTAAATATGCCTCTAATCGCGATTTGGGAGGTTTTCAGATGGTTGAAAATTTTGTACACGGATTTCCCAGCATAAAATATTTCAAAATTCTTTACTTGTCGGCTGGTGGATTTCCCAAACCATTAAATCGATTTATCTCCGTAAATATGCCTCTTATCGCGATTTGGGGGGTGTTCAGATGGTCGAAATTTTTATACCCGGATTTCCCAGTATAAAATATCTCAAAATTCTTTACTTGTCGGCTGGTGGATTTCCCAAACCATTAAATCGATTTATCTCCGGAAATATGCCTCTAATCGCGATTTGGGGGGTGTTCAGATGGTTGAAATTTTAATAACCGGGTTTCCCAGTATACAATATTTCAAAATTCTTTTCTTGTAAGCTGGTGGATTTCCCAAACCTTTAAATCGATTTATCTCCGTAAATATGCCTCTAATCGCGATTTGGGAGGTTTTCAGATGGTTGAAAATTTTGTACACGGATTTCCCAGCATAAAATATTTCAAAATTCTTTACTTGTCGGCTGGTGGATTTCCCAAACCATTAAATCGATTTATCTCCGTTAATATGCCTCTAATCGCGATTTGGAGGGTGCTCAGATGGTTGAAATTTTAATAACCGGGTTTCCCGGTATAACATATTTCAAAATTCTTTACTTGTCGGCTGGTGGATTTCCCAAACCATTAAATCGATTTATCTCCGTAAATATGCCTCTAATCGCGATTTGGGGGGTGTTCAGGTGGTCGAAATTTTTATACCCGGATTTCCCAGTATAAAATATTTCAAAATTCTTTACTTGTCGGCTGGTGGATTTCCCAAACCATTAAATCGATTTATCTCCGGAAATATGCCTCTAATCGCGATTTGGGGGGTGTTCAGATGGTTGAAATTTTAATAACCGGGTTTCCCAGTATACAATATTTCAAAATTCTTTTCTTGTAAGCTGGTGGATTTCCCAAACCTTTAAATCGATTTATCTCCGTAAATATGCCTCTAATCGCGATTTGGGAGGTTTTCAGATGGTTGAAAATTTTGTACACGGATTTCCCAGCATAAAATATTTCAAAATTCTTTACTTGTCGGCTGGTGGATTTCCCAAACCATTAAATCGATTTATCTCCGTTAATATGCCTCTAATCGCGATTTGGAGGGTGCTCAGATGGTTGAAATTTTAATAACCGGGTTTCCCGGTATAACATATTTCAAAATTCTTTACTTGTCGGCTGGTGGATTTCCCAAACCATTAAATCGATTTATCTCCGTAAATATGCCTCTAATCGCGATTTGGGGGGTGTTCAGGTGGTCGAAATTTTTATACCCGGATTTCCCAGTATAAAATATTTCAAAATTCTTTACTTGTCGGCTGGTGGATTTCCCAAACCATTAAATCGATTTATCTCCGGAAATATGCCTCTAATCGCGATTTGGGGGGTGTTCAGATGGTTGAAATTTTAATAACCGGGTTTCCCAGTATACAATATTTCAAAATTCTTTTCTTGTAAGCTGGTGGATTTCCCAAACCTTTAAATCGATTTATCTCCGTAAATATGCCTCTAATCGCGATTTGGGAGGTTTTCAGATGGTTGAAAATTTTGTACACGGATTTCCTAGCATAAAATATTTCAAAATTCTTTACTTGTCGGCTGGTGGATTTCCCAAACCATTAAATCGATTTATCTCCGTAAATATGCCTCTTATCGCGATTTGGGGGGTGTTCAGATGGTCGAAATTTTTATACCCGGATTTCCCAGCATAAAATATTTTAAAATTCTTTACTTGTCGGCTGGTGGATTTCCCAGCCCTTTAAATCGATTTATCTCCGTAAATATGCCTCTAATCGCGATTTGGGGGGTGCTCAGAAGGTTGAAATTTTAATTACCGGGTTTCCCAGTATACAGTATTTCAACCTTCTTTTCTTGTCGGCTGGTGGATTTCCCAAACCTTTAAATCGATTTATTTCCTTAATCTCTAATCGCGATTTGGGGGGTGTTCAGATGGTCGAAATTTTTATACCCGGATTTCCCAGCATAAAATATTTCAAAATTCTTTACTTGTAAGCTGGTGGATTTCCCAAACCTTTAAATCGATTTATCTCCGTAAATATGCCTCTAATCGCGATTTGGGAGGTTTTCAGATGGTTGAAAATTTTGTACACGGATTTCCCAGCATAAAATATTTCAAAATTCTTTACTTGTCGGCTGGTGGATTTCCCAAACCATTAAATCGATTTATCTCCGTAAATATGCCTCTAATCGCGATTTGGGGGGTGCTCAGATGGTCGAAATTTTAATAACCGGGTTTCCCAGTATAAAATATTTCAAAATTCTTTACTTGTCGGCTGGTGGATTTCCCAAACATTTAAATCGATTTATCTCCGTAAATATGC